AGCACAAATTCCATCTTCATGGGAGGGTCATTAAAAGAAAAGCTTTCCTCTGACTTAAAAAAAAAAGAGGAAAAAAAGAAAATGTGCAGTGATGATTTTGAAAGAACAATACAACCCCCGCACACACAAAACAAAGCAACGCCTCACTGTTTAGCACAAGAGTAAATGTGCCATTTTTCTAGGTTATGTTATAGGAGGTGGTACTTGGAACATGTACTGATTCAGAGGGGAATTGATTCAGTTAGAAAATAGGAAACCCCAGGAATCAAACATAGCGCAAACTGTAAGATAAGAAAATGCTGATCAAGATTGGGGCTCTTACTGTTCCCCAAAAGCCACGATGTACGGCCTCATGAGGAGTCAACATAAGGTTTAGCTGCAGGCTCACTCTGGCCAAAACATAACAGAGAAAAGCAGCTAATGGACTTTAGACAACATGGAATGTAGATCTGATCACAAATCCAATACAACTCAAAGCCTTTTTCCCAAAGATTTTTCCAATGCAAAGAATGGTATAAACACATTTTATGCCAAGACCAGCTGGTGTGTGAAATTAAATAGTACAGTAAATCAAAGAACAGAAACCAAACTATGGTTTGGCATCTATTTATCAACACACACGTTGCCATAAAAGCTAAATGCAGGATTAGAAAGTCGTTTTCAGTGGAGTGTGGATTTACTCATTCTAAATTTAGAGGAATCTGCTGCTTGCCAACACTTAAGTAAAAAGGTCTATTTTGATCAGTAGAATAGACTTTTGTTTTTTTTTCAAACACAGAAACTGTCAGAACAAAACCAATGCTGTAAAACACTGGAACATAGAATACAACATGTGTTTCTGCCATGGCTTAAGAAAGACCTATTTCTTTTTTCATGGTATAACATGATCATATTTCTGGACCCATTCAGGTGCCAACGCCTCAGCACCAGACCAGCTTAGTTTAGCTCTTGCTTGGAACAGGGTGGACATCGCACGCAGTCAGATTTTCATCTATGGACAGCAGTGGCCTGTAAGCAAGCAGTAAATACAATGATGTTCATGTTTGCATCATACAGTGCTTAGCAAAGTATTTCAGTTTAGAAATGCATTATACTGTTGGCAGAAAACTAATTCTGTTTGTGCATTAGGTTGGTTCCTTGGAGCAGGCAATGCTG